CATGATAGAACATTCAATCATTTTGCGTTGTTGCGTTAGGTTCCTATTTTATTCGATTCTTCGATTTATATACTGTTTAAGCCAAAAATTGTGAAAATAAATGACCATGTTTTTTTTTATTCGATTTGTGACATTTTGAAGTTTCTTCATCGTGAAATCTGTGTACGTTATGCGTATCGAAAGGTGACAGGTATCTGTGAACAAGTTTTCAATTGACGCTAACGTCGCCTTCATTAATAAGAAATATAAAAATTCATTGCGTAATTTTATTTGTTAAAACGCACATATCAAACAGTAACCATTTTCATGACTTTTCTATGAACTTCGTAATGGTTTTAGAATGTAAATATATATTTTATGGGAGAACCCACAAACAGTACCATTACATTTTCCATACAATATTGTTATATCAAACTTTTTAAGTATTACAGAAAAGAAAAATTAGTTTCAAGTACTTCTCTAGTATTCGATTGGTGCATATAAAATGTCGTTCTTTCAATTAAACCACAAAAGTAGGTATATATAGTGTTTATTCAAAATTTTTCGTATAGAGTCGCGATGTTTTCCAGATGGCCCTTTATTTTTTTCTTAACAAGTAGCACCTCAACTAATTTGATAAAAGTTAGAAGTTTTAATAATTGAAATCTGTTTCAAGTAGTCTATGCAATTTATTGGTTCACGAACAATTTATTTCATAAAAAATTAAAACCATGTTTAACACGTTCACTAAACGATTCGCACTATTGAAATTATCATGCGTTATTAGATAAAAGCAGAATATGTTTTATACGAGGGTCGTCTCAAAAGTAAGTTTATCCAGGTAAGCAAAAATCGAAAAACGCATCGAAAACTCAAACACAAATTTATTTACACTCAGTAACGTCATATTACTTTTCTACATAATCGCCATTGCGCTCAATGCATTTTTGGTACCGTGGCAACAGTTTTTTTTTATACCTTCGTCGTATCACAAAGTGCCCAGTTTTTCTACCCAGGCTCCAACCACCGTTTTGACTTCATCATCCGTCTCGAAGTGTTGACCTCCTAGGGCGATCTTCAGAGTCTGGAGAGTAGTACGGTGGATGGTCGAAAACCTCCCATCGGAATTATGACAGCTAGTCTTTTGATTTCTAAGCAGCATGAGGACGAGCATTGTCATAAAGCAACAACACTTTTTTGTTCAATAAACCAGGGCGTTTCCGCTTTATCGCGAAACGAAGTTTCTTCAAAACTCCACAATACCTGTCTGCGTTGATGGTGGTCCCTTGTGATAGGTAGTTAACCAGCAACACACCTTTAGTGTCCCAAAAAACTGTTGCCATTAATTTTCCTGCCAAGCATTCCACCTTGACTTTTTTGAGGGGTACATTCCTCTGTTTTTTTTCCAGACCATGCTCTGTCGCTTTGTCTCAGATGTTGTATAATGCACCCAAATTTCGTCACCTGTGACAATCCGACAAAAAAAAGAATGTCTTCTTCCGATTCAAACAGTCCAACGAATTTTCGTGTAGCAGCCATCCGTCGTTCTTTGTGTGCATGTGACAATAATCGCGGAATCCATCTCGCACAGACCTATTGGTATTGAATATCACGGGACACGATTCTCCCAACTGAAGCACGACTCACTTCGATATTGGGGGGTAAACGTTGGAGAATTTCGTCGAGTGTGACTCGTCGATCCTGCTAAAAAACTTGAAGATTTTTTTAAATATACGTCATTGTATTCGAAAGTGTACATTTCAAAGTGCTTATAGTAATTTCCTCAATGCAAAATATGAATAAATAGGGGAAATATCAGCGATCTCCAGGCGGCGTTTTTATTTTGGGCGTTTTGCGGTGACCATTGTAACTTCGACCTCGCGTATCTGAAATAAAAAATCCGGGCGAATTTAGTTAATAGATGAAATTATCTAGTGCCCGATCGTTCATTATCTTGAAAAATTAATTTACGACAAAATGGCGGCTGTTCAAAAGCAGTGCACAGAGTGCGCCTGGACAAAACTATTTTTTCGCGGTACATATTGAGTTTATATGGGATTTTAATCGTTAGAAAACGACTCTGTTCCGTATCACAGTTTATTATCTCACTAAAAATATTAATAACAAAAAAATATGACTAATTAAATGAAAGAAAGAAACAAAATTACTGTATTGGACTTTACCTATAAGATAAAATAAAATAAACAGGAAAGTACATAATAATCAATAAATAATTAAAAATAGACAAAAAAATATAACTTAAGACAAACTACAATGGAAGGCAAAACATTCCGCGTTGCTAAGCAGATTAGCAGCATTTTGGTCTTCTGAACGTAAAGCTATTTCTGCAGTAAAAATGATTTTATTGGCAGAATTTTCTTCTATAATCTTCGTCACTTTACGTTTTTCCATAAGAACATTCGTCTAAAGATTTAACTGGTATCCCACCAGAACAAGAGCTTGCTGTTGAAGGAATTTTATTAAGATCAAGTGGACCTTCAAATAAAACAAAATCTTCCCCTTGAAGCCAGTATTCAATCTATTTAAAAAATAGTCTCGCTGTCTACAATTTTTATCCCAACGTTCCTTGATTCGGCTTACTATTTTAGATATGTTATCACTTATCTTTTAATTAGTTACATCAAGCACATCAACACATCCAATTTTAACAAAAACTTAGCAAAGTTCATTAAATTGAGCCAAACTACGAAAAATCTGCCAAAGATCGAAGAATCCACCCTTGGTATAGTAACTAGACGAAATTATAAATATAGACTACGCGTCAAAATTAAAAGATCACTTAATCTTGATCAAAATATTATCGATTTTTGAACTATTATAATTTCGTGAACAAACAGTACAGTAGCTTACCTCGACTCATTGTAAAAAGTGAAGTTTTAGCCTGAAGTTTCACCCTTTAAAATATTACGTAAATACACTTAGATTAGTCTAAAAAATTTTAATTTCCTTTTAGATTTTCCATAATTTTTATAAAAAATAATATGCTTTATTCAACATACCTGATTATGTGAGAGACATATGTACAACGTGATAATGTAACAAAATAATAATAACAGCAAGTCAACAGAAAACGCATAATCTTCCATCACGATAACGCAAAACCGCATGTTTCTTTGAGGATCACGCAAAAACTGTTACAACTTGGCTGGAAAGTGTTGAATCATCCGCCGTATTCACCAGACATTGCACCTTCGGACTTCGGATTTATTTCGATCTTTACAACATTCTGTTAGTGGGAAAAACTTTAATTGCCTAGAAGACTGCAAATGGCACAGTTCTTGGCTCAAAAAGATAAAAGTGGTTAGGAACATGGAGTTGTGAAGTTGCCTTGATGAAAGGTGATAGGAGGCAGTGGACCAAAACGGTGAATATGTTATTCAATAAAGTTATTGGTGGAAATGAAAAATGTGTCCTTTATTTTCACTTAAAAACCGAACGAACTTTTTGGCCAACCCTATACTTTTCAGCGTACTTGTTATTCAACATATTCCAAATTGCTTTGTTTATTATTGTTATTATTGTTAAGTATTCTGGATTTTCAACATTATCTTTCACCTCAATGTTTTTAAAGAATACAGGTCGAGGAGTATTTAATATGAAATTTAATACGAAGTTGGATCATAAATCACATTCTAAAGAAAGACTGGTAGCTTTTTCAATTTGATTGACTGCATTATAAACTTGATGTAGCTTGTTTTATATCCTTATGATATGGTACGAGTAGTTTTGAGAGCAAAAGTTGCATTTTTATGTGCTTACTTTTCTATTTACCTCAGATGTAATTTTGGAAAAATTTTGTTCACAAGATCTTTTATTTTCCTCATCGCGATTAGTAATCTTGTATTATAGCTATTAACAAAAATATAAATATTATTCTAACCTATAACGGTGGCAAAAACGTCAGAAAGTATTCCATGTTTGCCCGACGGTCATTAGATGATCACCTGATCGTTGTATTTTTATATAAAATTGAAGACGTCTGATTAAAAATAATTAATTTTTTCATAGTTTTACTACCTTACATGAAGATAGAAATGACTCGAAACATTGCAATTACCCGGGTAATAACACGGGTGGGGTAGCCGGGTGAAACATATTCGAATATTTTTCATTCTCCCGAGTATCTTTCAAGTACCTGCGTGCCCAATGGGTCGGGCAGTAACAGCCCTAGTCCGAATATTTCTGTGACAAGCTATACATTTAATGTATAGAAAAAAACATTAAATATGTGTATTGAAATTTGTTCACATGGTAATAACATTTGCTTGCGTTTTTATTATCGAAAGATATTCAAATGTAATCGTAGGATGCAAGTAATATCATTTTTAGTTTGTCACAGTTTATTTCGTTCATTGCCGATATCGATCGAAAATGGTCAAGAAACTATCGATTCCCAAATCTAGATTCTCGACTGTCTGATATATTCGGATATCTCAGATACCGAGTTTAAATCAATAGCCCTAATGTTGATTCATACACAGTGGACTCTTGATATATTGCCGCGGTCGAGGATACGGCAATCGGCAATGTATCGAGAGCCCTCTCCATGCTAAGTTCGAAAAGTGAGTAACTAACACTTAACTAATTCGTTTAAGTGAGCGAATTTGTGTGCGTAAAAGTACGTGTGCATGGATTGTGCTTCGCGCGGCAAAATATCGAGGGGCAACATATCAAGAATCCACTGTAATTTAATTATATAACTCCACCGAATAATAAAATGTAGAAAATCTGTTTATTGAAATAAAAATTTCTATTGACAATACTTTTCTTACAAAAGAATCATTACGTATTTAATTAAATTGTTATTAAGTTGTTATTAAATTCATTATTAGTCTACTCATCTGGAGCAAAACCCATCAAAACTTTTGCACTGACCAAATATTTCATTTTACATTTATTTATCCGCGTGAGCGTCACGAAATATTCGTTAATAGATAATTTAAGTATGAAGAGAAACACAATAACCAAAAGGCGTTGATTGTATGAAAACACTTGTTTAGGTCGGAGGGTACGTCGCGGCAGGCCGCGACTGGGCACGAGAGGTGGAAAGCATGGATCCCCATCTGTGCAGGGTAACTCACCCTCTAGGAGTGAATGGCTACCCTTGGATATGAGGACTACACCTCCCGCTGCGATGTCTGCTTTTCGTGGTTTCGAGGAAGCCTCCTCTGATGGCGTGGTAAATTTCTTATCTCTTTTACGTCTTTCATCTTCATCAGCATCATCATTCGCTGAACTTTAATTTGGAGTAATTTTTCCATTTTTAACATAAACCATCCATTTATTGGCATGGTTGTTCAGCTTTCACGAATATTATGATGCTAGGAACATATAAGTTTTACATTCTTTAATAATTTTGAGATACAATACGAGAAAGGCACCCAATGGAACGTGGGAATACTATTTAATCTATTATAAATATCTATAGAGTATTTATTTTAAAGGCAACCACAAATTTTAAACCACTTATAAGAATATTAGAGGGAAAAGTTATACATAGGGATTAATCACTTCTTCACCGATTATAATTACGATAATTATCGTTCCATATGCTTTTCTGCATTCTTCTTTTATATCAGTCTACTGCTTAGACTTTTCCCTTAATTATAAGTAAACCCCTTATTATGAATTGTGTCTCCCAGGAACATTTTGTTTGAACCTATTGCGCGTTTAAAACATATTGCGCCCGATAGATGACTAACAGAATAGAGGTGACCTTGAAATCTCCAAAAATCTTCCACCCACTATCTCGTTGGGCTGCTTGTAGATATGGAGGGGGGACATTCCTCTCGGCTGAAAGAGCAAGCTGGTAGGGGCGCGATTTGATTTTTACCCGCGGGCCACATGTTGGACTGGCCTGAATAGAGAGTTGAAACTACACATAGTTTGTCCTGGGAAAGCTATCGAATGGTATACTGTAAGTCCAAATCGGTCTAAAGGCACATTTTACCTCCTTATCCGACTGTACCCTTTGCATGGACAATTCAGTGTGCGCAAATTACTCGAACGTGTAAACAAGTCTTTATGTATGTTTCTAATTACAACAAAAAAAGAGCAGTAACTTTTACCTTGGTTGCCTGGACCACCTTATGTACCTAATTTTGCTTTGAGAATATTTTATTCTAACATACACTCCTGGGTAAAATGATAGCATATTTATGTGTCATTTGGCCTTCAACGAATACCATGTCAGTCTTTCCATCGTAGCCAATATCTGCAAAACTATTATATTCCCTCCACCTATTTAACGCCGCACTTTTGTCAATTCTTCTTTTTGCACGTGATGATAGTAATAACACGGTTTAACAAATTTGAACATTTTTTTGTACTTTTAACATTCAGTAACCGTTTCTTATAGTTCTTTCTGTTCTGAATACGTAGCTGGAAACAATTATCCACCAGTACCTTCAGTTTTCGAGAAATTTGATTTTGAGAGAGAATGCGAATTTTCAAATTTGAACATTTTTGTGATCAAACGGTGATAGTTATTCGGTTGAGTGTTACGTCAAATTACTCTACGAATTCCCCCGAATAAAATGGTATACATTGTTATTGCATTATAAATATTTAAACGCGCTTAAACAACGATCAAAGGGAAAAGGACACCCGAAATGCATCAATTTTTGCAGATACCTAGCAAAGTATGCTAAGAGCAATTTTTTCTGCCAAAATTTACTCTGAAGGGACGAAATCAGCTTTTAGAGTTTTTGGGTATTTCCGTTCTCTTGATACAGTGGATTCTTGATAAATTCTCGGAATCGGCAATGATCGAGTGCCCCTATGTGCTAAGTTCTGCCGTCATATCATAGCTCCGCCCCCAGCCTGGAGGAAATGGTCCCGCCGGAGGGGGCGGTCCAAGATGTGAAACGCCGGGCTCCAGCCTGCGTGCTGGATAGATGGAAGGCCTGGTTATCCGAACCTGACATTTCCTCCAAGCGCGTGGTCGAGGCTGTTCTGCCAAGCCTAGAAGCTTGGCTGGACAGAAACTAATGAAGGCTCACCTACCGTGTGACACAGTTGCTCACTGATCATGAGTGTTTCGGTGAGTATCTGTGCTGCATTGGGAAGGAACCGATGGTGAAGTGCCACCACTGTCGGGAGGCACAGTACACGGCGCAGCACATGCTGGGGTACTGTCTAGCGTGGGCAGAAGAGCGCCGTGTCCTGAAGGGGGAGGTGGGGCGGGACCTCTTGTTGTCGAGAGTTATCAGAGCGATACTCGATAGCGATAGGTCGTGGAACGCATTAGCCTCCTTCTGCAACAAGTGATTCCTACACCCCTCCCTCCCCATCATCGCAAAGGGGTTTCTCCCCTCTGGGTAAGGCAGCTGCTAACAAAGTGTAGGAGGGAGCCTCAGCCTCCACCGAGCACGTTGGCAGCTGCCAGGGCCGCGGGCGAGACGTGTGGAGGCACGTTCCGCCTGCAATAGGCGGCCCAGAGGAGGAGCGTTGTCGGGGCGTGGCCCCCCGACACTGTCGGATAACGAAGAAGTTCTGGGGGAGGGGCGTGCCATGTGCAACCCAGCCCCCGAGGAAGGAGCTGCCTCGCAGACGTGACGCATGGGGGGCGCCGTGATGTCTTCGCGGACCCTTCCCGGCGCTCCCCTCTAACGCGTCGAGATTATAACCTAACCCAGACCTGCCACAATGCCTGCATAGGAGCTGGATCGTGCTAGTAGAGAGGGCATATGCAACATGTTGAGTGAGCGAATTTGTGTGCGTGAAAGTGCGTTAGGAGGGGAAGTGCCTCGCGCGGCAATCTATCAAAAATCCAATGTAGAGTGTCATTTCACGCGAAGTCGGACACTTTCTGGAGTAACGTTTCAGATTTTGTTGAAACTTGTATATGTTGTAGTTTTTAGTGTTATATAAACGTATCACGAAAGATTTTTCAAAATTTTAAGAACTGTTGATTTTACAGCTATTTAAACTATAGTGTCAGCCTTTTTTCATTAAATTGTTGTACTAAGAAACTGATCAATATGAACTTTGTGGGTGACTTTAGTGGAGACCTAACAGTACCTAATAAAAATTATTTTAATTCAACAAAAATTTTGTAACCATTTATTTCGTAATTGTTTTTATGAAATGCAATTTTATAATAGCAGGGCACAATCTAAAAATTTAAAAAAAGTTAGGATATAGTCGTATTTGTCCTCCTTATGGATGAAGGGTATAGCCGGATAAAGGAAGTGAAAAGTGCCCTTAGGCCGATTTGGACTTGTGATATACCATTTGATAGCTTACCTAGAAAGAACTATGTGTACCAAGTTTCAACCCTCTGTCTCGACCAGGAGGGTCATTTATTTCAGAGGAATAATAGGAAAAATTCTGATTATGCGTTTTTTCCTCTATTTTCCCTATTTAGCGACGTGCGAAAATTCCGTAAAAATCTGATATCGTGTTCGTCTGTGCCTGTCCGATGGTATTTACCGAGGCACGTGTTAGAGAATTTTTTGCTATTTTTTGGTTCATAATCCTAGTCGTCAAATATCAAAAACGCAGAAATCATGGAAAGTGTTTTTTCTTATTGAAATCTTAAAAACCCTAGATTTATATAATTACAGTACCTATATATCATCACAGAATTATGGTCCTATAATAACAATATCCAATAATAACACAATAAATTTAGTGATCAGAAAACGAGATAAGTTTATTAAATAGGATCTTTTACTGTGTGAAGTATGTTCACTTTGTTTAGACATATGGTGGTATCTTACTTTAACATATATTGTTGTATGATACATTTTCTAAGGTGTATTCTATGATTATACAGTTATTTCACAATGCAAGATGGCATTCTTATAATTAGATTTATAAATAAATCAAATGTACTCCAAGACACGCCAAGGACGCCAAGCCACGCTAGTATTAATAATTAAACTCGCCTGCAAAGTGCACTACCAATTTAGCCTCCCAAGATGACTGACGGTTAATTCCCTTTCCGTCTTTCGGCACACCCCCGCAGAACAAAGTACTGTCCTTTAGGTACTGTCCTTAGGAAAGACTGTGGATAGTTCTGCGGAGGCAGGCCGAAAGACGGAAGGGGGATCGGTTTTCGACCGTCATGAGAGGGACTACTGGTGGTGTCCTCTACAGCCAAGTATAATTATTAAAAATGGCGTCCTCTATGGCATCCTTTGTGATGATCCTGGTGACGTTATTGTGTGAAACCATTGGACAGAAACTCACGTGTATAGTTATGTATATTATTGTAGTTCTAAGTAAAGTAATGAAAATATTATATTTGAAGGCGAAAAATTGTTATAAAAATGTAAATTATTAGTAGTCGATAATCGATCTCGAAAATGCCGAAGTGCATTGTACAACGTATTAAGCACGAATGATCAAATTTAAACACTGTTCCGCGAGAAATTGGTACGGCATAGATGGCACTATTAGTCGTCCCTCTCATGGCGGTTGAACAGCTCCCTCGCGGCTGCTCTCAGTTTTTCCCTTCCCCGTCAATAAGTGTACTTTATGCACCGTCCTTCAGGTCCATGGTATACACGGTGTATATGGAAATATTGTCGATGATTCCAACGTATCGAGGAATAAACATTGTCGATGAAATTCGGTGTCATTAAACAGTGTCGATGAAAATATTGTCGGTGATTTCAAGGTAACCCGGGTCTATTACACTATCCAGAACATAAAAAAAATTGCCTACGACTCGTCATTTATAAATAAAATGATTTCATTGTTATTTTACATACAAATTCTTAACCGTAACAGATATAGACGAGATCATTGTATTCAAAAACTGTACATTTATCAATAGTTTATTGAAATATGAAAACAAAAACAATTTTCCACTTTTGTACTTATATGTTTATACTTGTACGTGATATCGTATTTCACGCATATTTCGTAACTTATAAGAAGTTTTACTTTTATACAAATAAATTAAGAAAACACAAAAATATTCGTATGTGCGGATCAAACGTACGTTAAAAAACTTCGCAGCCATTCCGTGGTAGAACATTTATCCGCTGTACCGATGGTGCTCTTGGGAGTAGGGTAAAACTTTAGAATATGAGGGATACAGCATAGTTTCAATTTAGTAATCATAACGTAATAAGTTGCTAGGTGTAGAAATATTTAAAATAGTGTAAAATACTTACGTAATAGAAGAAATACAAAAATTAAAAATATTACTTCTTCAACGAAAAATCGTCGAAAAAATCTGTTTTTGGTCTTTGCAACTATAGTGCACTATACCAAGAAATCTGACAAAAATTTAGGATAATACTTCTGATAACATATCATTTCTCTAATTGTATAAATCTAGTCACTTTCAAACTTCAGTAAGAAAACTGTATTTTTCATCACTTTTTAACATTGTAAATTTGTTATAATTAGGGGTCCCATCTAAAACATCGGAAAAATTCTCTAACACGTGTCCCGGTCACCCTCAGATTTTTTACAGAATTTTTTCATGTCATTTAATAGATGAAATAGAGGAAAATCCAATAATCCGGATTTTCCCCGTTACTACCCTCCTGGCCGAGATAGGGGGTTGTAAATTGGTAGAGATTGTTTTTTCTTGATAAGCTATTTAACAGCACATCACAAGCCCAATTCAATCTAAGCCTTCTTTTTGACCCCTTATCGGGCTATAACCCCTACCCTTTTTTGAACAGTCGTAACATGGATATCTTCAAAAAGCTTCTCACAAATATGTATGGTGATTGGTAGGTGCACTTGGGAGAGGGGATTGCAGTTTGCGAGGAGCAACTGAGGGCTGTGAAATGGAGCGATTACAGAAAATTGACTCGAGGTCTAGCGGCAATTTTGTTCAGTCCCACCGAGTTAGCCACCTGCTCGGTTACAGGGCAACGATGGAGCCGCGCTGGAACTGCCACCGAGAGACCGGTGAAACCTGCGCTAGATAAGGCCAAAGTGCAGGCCATCATATGTGAGTTTTTCCAAATATTCTACCTTTTCACTTCCTATTCGTTATCTAGCAAAGTGTCGGATTTCGTAATGAGGTGTAAAACTGCATAGAAGCCGCAGTCGAAAAGAAAACTACGGATATTAGTTTCTCGATAAAGATAATTAATGAAAATTATGAAAATTTTATGAAAACTTCTTCGAATGTCTCCAAATTTCATTGAAATTTAATAAACTGAAACTTATTAAATCTCAGTTAATAAGGTGATAAATCTAACTTTTAAATTATTAACTTCATAAGGACAAGGGTTCGTTGACGACCTTCGATTATATATATTATACCATATATACATATATTACCGTACACAAAACATTTGAAAAATATAGGTTTTCTTTAAAGGGCTGTATCTTTGTTAAACAAAATCGTTCTTCGATGACATAGTTAAGGTGCTTTTTCAGAATTGATCCATCACTAGCCTTCGCGGTTCAGTACTTGGAGGGTTAGAAGGTCAAACTCGCGAAGTTGTTAGAAATGTATTCGATATATGGAGGAAAAACAAAATTTGTAACCACGGACGAAAACTTCCACTGCCCACCGTGAAAGCTTGAATCGCCGTTGATCGTAGGCGGTAGGGACCAGGTCGACGACCACTGCTTTAGCGGGTAAATTCTGCCCCCAGAAGTATCGACATTCATGAATCACCCTGTAAATTTTATATCCGTTTAACCACATTCCCAGTCAAACATATGCAGACTCAATGAACCTTCAAAACCGATTTTCCCCGTGTATCGGATACTTCAGTTTCAGCGACACTCGTATTCTCACGCGGAACGGCAAAGTAAGTCGTAACAATTTCGCGTTATAACATAACGTTTTATGATCGCATCGCCGGAATATTGTGTGTTTAAAATGCCGTGTTTGTATTTGTTTATGTAATGGCTTGAAATTTGATATACACAGATGGAGAATAGTTACTAAAATTACGCCTCCCTCTGATATTTGTGGCCATAACATTTCGAAGTAAATGTGACGTATTTATATATGTTACATGAAAAATTGCTTGGTATTGCTATGGTGTTTTGTAACAAAGAAAAGGATCACTTCATGTACTACGTTCACCGGTGACTACTCTGATAGTCCACATATTAATTATCTTAATAGCTTCTACGCTCATCGTTCAGAGGGATTATTGTATTACTGTTTCAAGGTTGCTTTCAGCATTTGAACGTCTGAAATATTGTTGACGTACGATACATAAAGGTTGAATGTTATGTATGGAACGTTTCGACGTATTGAATACTTGCAAACTTTGCGGAACGGTTGATCCAACGAGGTGAAACGAAACATTAAAGAGGATCGAGAAATATGCGAATCAAAAAACACAGTAAACACAGGATATCCGAGAATAAAGCGGCGTCTACTCTCAGCCACGTCTAAACACTTACTTGGGACGAAAATAGGTCGTTCAAGAATTGAAATTTCAGTTTATAAAAACGTTGAATTTTCTCGTGGGAAAGTCTAGCTTCAGCCGGGTTGTTCGAACCTTTTCACCGTAGAAGTGTTTGGTGCAAGTAACGAACGATATACCGAACGTGTATATGAAGGTATACTAAATCTGTCTGTAGTAGTTGCATATGGCATCAGTTACTGTTTACGTTTCTTGTGTGTAACTATAGAGCTTGATTTTAAAGGGGTTGTTCTATGCAGAAATGGGCAAACTCATTATCTAGATAAAAAGTTTCGAATAACGTATAAATGATAAGAAAAAGTATTTAGTCATTTTTATTTATTTAAACGTGGAAATTTCAATTTTTATAATAATTAATATTTCTTTATGAATGAATCAATATTTGTTGAATAATCATTTAATCTCATTAACTGTTTAAAACTCAGGACGACACCCTTAGGTACTGCTGCTTTTCACTGTGTATTATTCGAATAAAATTTGGCCCAACTCTGGTTCTATGTAGACGTACGAAAAAACAGGGTATCTCTGGTACATTTTAGTAAGAAATTTGTTGAATATATCGATTCGAAACTTTGCAGAGTTACATATACAGTTACATTGATATTTCGACACAGTACAATTTTGAATTCTCAGCTGTACATTTCGAATACGTATACAACTGGCTGTCTGAAATTATTTATCAACTCGACTACAAAATAAAATTATCCCCTTGAAAAACTGTTACATTTGAGTATTATCTCGTGATTTATTAAATTTTTTTTTGAAGTTGGAAGATCAATGTTTCGATTACATTGTTACCCCGCGATACAACCGGAAGGCATATGGTAGGATAACTCTAGACTCTAGTGAATGTAGTATCGAATATATTTTTGAGAATATCTTAAAAACTATAGCCGAGCGGCGGTAACGTGTACAGGATAAAGTTGTTTAAAATGACGATCTTGACAACATTTTTGAAGGTTATGAAAATCGATGAGGAATCGCAAAAGTAAATAATTACCAAGCTTTTAAATCATTATTACATTCCTGTACAGTGTGTGAATAATTTTTACAGGCACTTCATTATTTTATCATAACTTTTTTATTTCTGCATAGATTCGCTTGAAATTTGATATACGTATTTCTTGTCATGGAGGAGTAATGTGAACTAAGTTTCATCATGATCCAACTTTTTGTACCAATTGTATGGTGATTGTTCATATATTTTGGTGCGACAAATTTTTTACGCGTAGTACGTAAATTCTAATGTTGCAAAACCTAAACGTATTTAAAACAAAAAAGGTAATTGCAGTTTTTAAGTGCACTGATGTATTTGTGAAAAAAATAATACAATCGGATGATGGTGCTTGTTAACGATTCAAAGTTTTCTGGATTATATCTCTGTTCCAAGTGAATGGAGCCCAATTACTAGAATCACCTTGTATAGATAAGAAAACAACAGAATGCGTTTTAATTAATTTTGTACTAGAATGGAAGTTCCATAGAAAACGTAAAAACTTTCCGTTCAATGGAATAGTTTTATCGTTCGAAGTATATCCTATTATTTATTCCAATTAATGGTGGGGCAAAACGTGACAACAATAGCAGCGTGTGTAGTCAAATGACTTCTCATTTGTGTATTTTGCACCAGATAAAAGCGCACATGCTTACAATAGTCTCTTCCATTTTTCAATGTTAGTTAATTGTATTATGAAGTATATGATACGTATTATACTATTTCAATTTCTTTCAACGTGATTTACAAATTTCATGGCCCAAAATGAAACGATTGTTCGCGTCACAAATAAAAGGTAATCTCGATATACCGTGTGGTATATGCGATAGGAAAATTGAATTGTGCCTTGCGCGAGTACTCTTTGAACTGTGCAATATCCTCTGAAATCCGTTTTTGCTCAAAATCAATACTTATGATGGTCTTGTAGGGAAGATATAAGGGTGCGGGTAATAAAACGGTCGACACACAACAAATAATAATAATATAAACTATATTTAATATGAAATTACAGTAAAAGACGATGGAAAACAAAACGACTAAATTATAACGCACGACAAACAACTAATATATGACAACAACAGGCAACTCGACTTCCATCCAACAGACTGGCCCCAAACCATGCGCTCTATTCTGCCCTCTTGTAAGCGGGTCCCATTGAAATCACCGACACAGACTTCATCGACACTGTTTTCACCGACAACAATTCACCGACACCAGACTTAATCGACAACAATTCACCGACACCAGACTTAATCGACAACAGCTTTAACCGACACCAGACTTGATCGACAACAGCTTTACCCGACATTATTAACCGATAATGACATTAGTCGAATTACTATTCGTCTCATTTGTTTCGTATTTTTTTTTTTTTCATAGCTTAGAGTGTGATAGACTTACGGTAGTGAGAAAAAACACAGTTAAGGATAATGGAACAGAAAGTATATTGTCAAGTTTATACATCTACGTATGTTAAATACAAAATATTATTTTCGAGAAATGAAAAGAGAATACACACAAGACAAATCAATATCACGACAATGTTAACTATGTTCAATTTATTATAAAGTAATGTTGTCAGGTAATGCTTGCGAAAAGTTTGTGATATTATATTCTTGACGATTATTCACAATTCCTTGAATGCGTTCCTCTTTCAGTCTATCTTTCCTGATTTAACATTTTCGTTATATTGATTTATGTTGTATTTATTCTTTTTTCATTTCTCGAAAATGACATTTTGTATTTAACATACGCAGATGTATAAACCTGGCAATATACTTTCTGTATCCTTACCTGTGTTTCTTCTCACTACCATAAATCTACTACACTCTAAGCTATGAAAAAAGAAAAATACGAAGCAAATGAGACGAATAGTAATTGGACTAATGTCATTATCGGTCAATAATGTCGGGTAAAGCTGTTGTCGATCAAGTCTGGTGTCGGTCAAAGCTGTTGTCGATTAAGTTGGTGTCGGTGAATTGTTGTCGGTGAAAACTGTCGATAATGTCTATGTCGGTGATTTCAATGGGACCCTTTTTAAGTACCCACACCTACAAGACACACTCAAACCTCGCATCCCTTTCGATAATTGTCATTATACTGACATTATTAATCATTTAGACTTAAAAATCTGCTTACCAAGTAACTGGTCGGTACTGGATAACAATTTTTTGTTTCCTTTAAATTATAATTTCTTTACTCTTGCAAATACTCAATTCTTATTATTGAAGTTCACAACATTAATTTCCCTCTTTTTAGTAAGTTCCATTTGTGTCACAAAATCATTTTTTTAATTTTAATCTTTACCGACTTTAGCCCAAGAAATAACAAGAAAACTTAGAACTGTCGATACTGCATGACTCTCCTCTACATGGATGAAATATTGCTTAGAAGCTCTGTACATATTTCTTTTGGAATAGTATTATATAAAGTTAGTTTGAATGAGATCGTTTTATAAATGAAATTCTATAAATCTATCTCATATTTATCCTCCTGATGTTACTCTATTTAAATATAAGGGTAAGCTTTTTACTGATTTATGGTATAAGATTTTCGATATGGTATCAAGTTATCACTAAAGTTGTTCATGCAGGAAAACACAGCCGAAAGTAGATGAAGGCTAAAAAGGTCTAAAATCTACCAACCAGTAAACCCAGCATATCATATGCGCCGACTTAACATAATCAATAGAAACAAAGATTTTTGAGGTCAGAACGTTCAGTGCGTTCCTTTTTACAGGCTGTTTTGTATAATTTCACCACTTCAATTGTGTTTCCATACTGTACATACAACTTAATCGATTATCCTATGTAATGTAAATGTATTAATAATAATGTGCGACACTTTTCCAAAGTGGGATTTTATGCAGGGTGGACCGGAAATCGTAGTACAACCGGGCAGGGGGTGATTCTACGTTAAAAAGGAAAAAAATATTTTGTTATAACATTTTCTCATCCGGGGCTCCATTTTCGAGAAAATCGACTTTAAAGTTTGTTCAACTTGTAAACGATTTAGTACAATTTGCTTGTCGTGTATTAGTAGTAAAAAAGAATAAAAAACGAGTAATCAGTAGAAACACGTTTGTTTTATCCACACAATTATCAATGTTTATAAACACTGTCCCGGGCAGAGACAACCGCAGTAGTGAAATGCACAACAAGCAAATTGTACTAAATCGTTTGCAAGTTGAACAAATTTTAAAGTCGATTTTCTCGAAAACAGAGCCCCGAATGAGAAAATGTTATACCAAATATTTTCTTCTTTTTTAACATAGAATCACCCCGTGCCCGGTTGTATTATGATTTCCGGCCCACCCTGTATGTGAAAACACCGACAAGGTATAAGTATAGACCTTTAATCTTATGGGAGTTGGCAGCCCACCTAAACTGTAGTTCCGACACCTTAAAAGCCTGTGATTTTAGTGACCTCTTGTTATGAGAACAGTGAATTTACGGTGGGTAGTGACACTAAAATGGAAATGGGGTGACAAGGAATACATTGGATAAAAGGACTATTCCTATACCTCGTTGGTCGTCAAACTAAGCAGAAAATCAAGAATAACGAAATTGCGCTTGAGGCTTCGTTTCGGAGTTCTTAATTTTGAAGACAGGGACGACATGCACGTGAAGTACATAAATATATTGATTTCGTTTTATTTTATTCGTTAAATTTAACTAGATCTTCGACCGAAGTCGTGTATTAGTTGTTTGAGTAGTGTCGTACATACAGAGTGATTCGTCCACTGCTACATAGGGTCGAAAGGCAAGTAACCTGCTTTGCCATTTAAGGGTTGCTAGTTACACCTGCTGATCAGTCTATGTCTGTGACAGAGACAGAGAGAGTGTAAGTTCTCGCTCTGTTTCTGTCACGCACATAGGCTGCTCACTGAACTTTATTATACCTGAAACGATAACAGAGTTCGGAAAACCCTAAATTAGCCGGGACCAAAGGAGATAGTTGTACCGAAGGTACCCTCACGAGCAAAGTCGGTTACCATTAGGGGAAAAGTGGCGTAGAAGAAAAGTCTCCTACCACTTAGTAAATTTAATTTAAGTATTGAAAAAAAATGTTAAAATGCATGTTAATTTGCCATAAATGTCAGAAACTTCCGAAACCGAATGGTAGAAGCCCCTATCCCTACGTCACTTTTTTGAGGGAGGGTACACTCGCGTGCAAACTCGGCTTCTGCTAGGGGAAAAAGTGATGTAAGGGAAAGACTTATTAAAAAAAAAAAGAAAGTTACTGAAATTTATGCCAAATTCATGTTCGATTTAACATTTATTTCAGTATTTGAAATAAATTTATCAAGCGGTAGGAGGCCCTTACCCCTACGTTACTTTTTCCCCTAGTGGAAGCCGAGTTTCTCGTGGGTGTACCTTCATCCTTTACTACACTATCCTGTAGTAAATTTACTTACTATCCTATAGAAAATTTGGATATAGGCAGATATACGTAGACGCGATTCTACGTTCAGAAGAGATGTGTGTAAGAGTGAAATAAAGATATCTCTCACACAGTGTTTTCTGTTTAACAGGCAGCGTCACCCCCCAATACTCATAGTTATCGTTCCAGGTGTATTATACATGTGTAGCGATCAATGAGGCTGCTCAGCAAGGGTAAGCTACCGATGACACGTTTAGGATTACAGCACTTAAACGACAAAGCAGGCGGTTTGTCGTTCGATCCTAGCAGTGGGGGAATCACCCAGTATAATCTGACGCGCCAGATGAATTCGTGCCTTCCCCGTATTTTCAACGATTAATAACTCAGAAACGAACGCAATTATGTCATTGTTAATTTTTCTCTTACAAAGGAACATCCCAAATTGACAATTGCCGATTTTGATGCAACTTCGAGAGACTGTAGTTCTCATAAAATAAAAGTGACATGTATATTTAACGAAGACGATTAAATTGACCTCGTAAAAGTTGATTTGCATATAATAGAATTTATACAACGTTTTTATTCTTACTTACGAATGACAGAATATGCTTCTAAAATTTGTCGAGAAATACGGAATACCCTGTATAAATCAATTCTATTTTTACAGTGGACACGAAATGTCGAATTTTTAGTAAACGCGTGTACGATTACGAAGGTTGCCCGTAAATATTTTTTTATGAATTTGTCTCGCTGAGCCGATAAAATTGGTCACGCTACGTTGTTACGAATGAATCCTTTTTCAATTTTCTTACTCAATACATGTTTCATTGAAATTTTAAAGCCTACGTGACATCGAGGTTTCCAACAGTGGACGTGAGCAGCGTGAAGCAAGTGTTGGCTTACAAGTGCAAGGAGAATTCGACGGCCCTCAAGATGAAATCTATTAGATACATTTGGTGAGTCGAATTCCATTTCCAATTTACTTTCTCCCATTTTATGTTTCCCTCTAACAATAGGCACCTATATTCTGTCCGACTTAAGAATAACCCTGTTTCACGCATGGGATGGATATAATTGTAAAGGTGTGTATAGACACTGCGAGGCTGCCTCGCAAGGTGAAATCAGGGAGTCACTAGGACGGTGAAATTCGTGAACGAACCTGATGCGAAATCAGGGAGCCGCTGGATAGGTCCAGTTTCGTGGACGAACCCGATACGAAATCGGGGAGCCACTAGGTTGGAAAACACTTGGAAAAGTGTGACGTGCGGACGAACCGGATGCGAAATCAGAGAGTTGTTAGGGTATGGACGAACCTGATGCGAAATCAGAAAGAACCCGATACGAAATCGAGGAGCTACTATGTTGGAAAACACTTGGAAAAGTGTGACGTGCGGACGAACCGGATGCGAAATCAGAGAGTTATTAGGGTATGGACGAACCTGATGCGAAATCAGGAAGCCGTTGGATAGGTTATGTTTCGTAGACGAACCCGATACAAAATCGGGGAGCCCCTGGATAGGTCAAGTTTCATGGACGAACCCGTTGCGAAATCGGGGAGCCACTAGGTTGGAAAACACTTGGAACAGTGAGACGTGCGGACGAACCTGATGCAAAATTAGGGAGCCGCAGGAAATGTTAGTTAAGCCTCGTAAATCATTTTATAATTGTGGATGCAACTCGAACGGTAAAGTTGTATCGTGTGGGAAAGGTCAACTACGATTATAATGATTACCAAATCAATGAATTTTAATAATAAAGTTACTCACGTTTGTAGGCGGCTCAAAAACATGGCGTTTCGTCTCGGGAATCGTCTACCAAGACTCGTCAGTGGGGTTGATGGTAGACGACCCCTGCAGACGCCTGGGTTGCTCCTCAGCGGAGCCCCTTGAGTAGCCATAGGCTCTATTAACCGCTTGCGAGAAAACTCGCCATCTGGCGGTCGTTACCAAAAACCCAGGCGACTGGGAGAAACGTCTCCGACACACCGTCTGGTCACATAAAATCTTCTACACGTTTATTAAGGAATGTTATTTGGATGTTACACAATCAGTCTTTGGTATAAGTATGTGTAGTGTAGTGTTGTCGAGATAAAGTATTAAGTATAATATTATCGGTTAGATGCTCGGTGTTAACGCACTGGCAATGCGGGGACTAACAAGGGAAGGCACGGAAGTGTTCCCCTCTGATTTTGGTGAGACTTCGTATGTCTGTTAAGCAGTCAAAAATAAGGGATCCGTATTTTTTTTTATCGGCTGAGACGCCACTTTAAGAGGTGAAACCACCCCTCGAAGTTTCGATCCGAAATTTTTTTGTTATAAACAAATTATATTTTGGACAATTTGTTAGCACCATATTATTCTACATAAAAAACAACAAACCTCGTCTATTAAAAGTTTTCATGTATCTCCTCTGGTTTTCGAGATAGTACTTTCGGATCGAAACTTCGAGGGGTAGTTTCGCCCCTTAAAGTCGCGTCTCAGCCGATAAAAAAAAATACGCATCCCTTATTTTTGACTACCTAACAGACATATGACGTTTCATCAAAATCGGAGGGGGACAGTTCCGTGCCTTCCCTTGTAAGAGCAGTTTTAAAAGATTACCGAATAGAACTTCAACCGAACTCGCCGATTCTAGAAGGTTAACTGATGATTCGAAAGGGAACTAGACTACTTGACACATGCAAAACTTTAAACAAAAATATCTCGAAAACCAAGGCCCATTCTGAAGAAACCTATGAGGATTTTGTAATATTATATGTGTTTCTCACTGGTATGAGGATTTTTATGCAAGTCTAGTGCAGTGGTGACTGCGAGACTCACTCGACTTTACTCCTCCATCACCGAAAGTGCTTTGAATCGGAGCAAATAATCCTTTAATTCTAGCGCAGATGCAGCGTAAAGATAAAAAAAAAAAAAAAAGAAGATGTTTAGAAAGTTTGGTGTCTGTTCGCAGTGAGAGGCAGGAAACAGAGAGATCACCGAGAGCAAATCAGGAGGATAAGTGAGAGGTGATGGGGGTGCGTTGAGCGTGGAACTTCGAATATTCGAAGAACTTCGGAGCGTTCATTTAACTCCATGGGTTTCCTGCGACTTTGCTGCTTGCTCGTCTATCGTCTCTTCGATCCGTTCAAATTACTTTCCTCGATTGAACTGCTTCCGTGGCTCGATTCGGTCACGGTTTGCATTTCTCGGAGCAGCGAACTGGGACTTCCAAAGACTTTATGGGGCCACCGAGAAATTGTAACGGTTGTTTCGAAGGTGAATGTTTTTGTCACTGGTATAGTAGCACTTGAGAGGTTCGTAACGTCAAACTATCCTTGTCAACGAGTTGGAAAATATTTTAATACCTATCTAAAAATAGGTCATGGTACTGCCTGTGAGCATGAATTTCTCATTACTTTTATAAAAATCCCCCGTTCATTGGTAAATTTCTATTGTTTTCTTTTTTTTATTATGAACGTGAGCGGATATTTTAGAGTCATTCAGACGTGTGTATTATTAAGTGTATGCTGCATTAGTTACATTAAAAGACACACCAGTTCAATTATATCCATGTAGTGTGTATAATCGAAGCGATTAAAAGTACATGAGCTTTACCATCGCTTGTACCATGAAGTCTATAAGAAATTTCTTATTATATTATACATACATTGCACGTAAAACAGAAGGAAATGTGTTTCTGTAATTTTTTATGAAGTTAGAAAGTTTTCCTTCTCTTCTTTTGAAAATTAATATTTTGTTCGTGTGGTTTTTCGTTATGGACCATTCAATTTTAAAGGTGCAAAATAATAGTAATTGAAGTTGAAGTAGCCTACATTTTACTTTTAATTGTACAGCGGAATGTTTCTGACGTATTTCGCACATCATACAAACAAAAAAAGGATAAGCATAAGTTCACGAGTATTTTCTTTCTGTATAATTCCTTTTTAAAGTTACACATCAGAAGAACTGTTTATAGAGAAGACCATTGTAACTTTCTGGAAAGTATACATTTAATTGATACTGTGACTTAGATCATTATTTAAAACCTACCTGAACAATGTTAAATAATGATCTCATATTCACAAATTTAATAAAATTCAGTTACTTTTCTGATGTGCATATGTAACAATAATTCACGCGAGTTCCAACAGGCCGTTTTGTGGCCTGAGTGGTAAGAATTATTCTACCGATATATGTAGCCTCCAATAACTATCAGTCAAAAAGAAAGTACTTGCAGGACTGTGTTTTCAATGTTTCTTTATCGACGTCTGAAATGTTCAGCTAAACGTGACAGGTTCATCTAAGTTACGATATTTTATCTTTAAAAAGATATTTTACTATTTTCCATAGATACCAAATTATTCATAGTATATCCTCAAGATTTTTAAGAATTCCATCTATTAACGAAATTATTCTATAGGTTAAAAATTTAATTAAAATGATAAAATTCTGCGAAATCCAGGGACACTAATTAAAATAAAATTTAACGTGACACATTCGAACTAAGTTTAAAAAGATCGTAATAAAGAATATTTAATATGACGAAGTAAACCAAAATGCCGAAGGAAAACCCAAATTAAAATCCACTTATGCACAATGGGTTCGGAATAAATTTAAACCTCGTACGACGAAATAATCTAAATATTTAAACAAATGAGGGAAGTTTAAGCAAATCCTAAATTTTAAATGAAATTATGAGAGATAAACCGTAAAATTAGTGAAAACATACACAACATGACGAGGAATTAGTAATAAATACGCGCAACTAATTTAGATGCAAGAAGCACCGATGAGCGAGGGAAAATGGACGCCATTTTTGTAATCATCTCCAAACAGATCGAACCAACTGATTTCGAAGCCCACAAAAAGTCGTATAATACGATACAGAATTTCCGAAAAGAAGTTAGATGAAAGCGTAACGAAATGAAAGCGATTTTGTTAACAATAATACGTCAGCAGACGTAGCACTAGCAACGTCTTAGAAAGCATTACATGAGTTAATTAGGAAAGTAATGAAACGGATTCAATTTAAGCCTGATTAATTCCTAATTAACCTTATTCCTAGGGAACACTACTACAGTTTATTTTTCTTTCTAATAATGAAACGTTTACGAAAAACGTTGCCTGAAAAGCAGATACAACCGTACCATGAGAACATGTACGATGGGTTCAAAAACACTTGTCCATACTCATACTAATAACTACTTTAGCTCTAGAACTACCAAACAAGTCAAAATGACTTGTCAGTACGCTCCTATAACTATAATTAAAATGTTATACCAATGCATTTTCTAAGATCTTTGGAACTTTTATTACGATATGAAAGTGAAGAAATTAGTTAATTTATAAGTTAGTAAATTTTCAACAGTTTGCCATATTTATCGATCTTTCAAATTAGATGTGCGTTTATCATTGGTAGTTCTAGTGTTAAATATTAAAAACACTGAAAACTATTGTGCTCGTTCAAAAGAGTCACCGTGACAGTAGTTCCCGCAGTGCACACAATTCCAGAGTCTTCACACTTGATACAGAGTACGTTGTTGGTGAAAAAACAATTTCTTCCACCTTGGTATCGATGATCAGAGTGTATCTATGCTATTATCTGTATGCTAACAATAATTTTCTAGATTTTACGAGTATGTAATATGAATTTTTCATTCTCATGCCTGGGTATCTTATCTGTTTATTACATGCTGCAAGTATTGTGGCAGGTATTACTGTTGTTAGTTTTTATTATTCAGAAAAATTAAATATCGTCTGAATTGGGGTACGTTTTCTTTTATTTGCATTAGATAAAAACTTGTTAATATGTAAAAATTGTTAGAAAAATATTTTTCTAAAGAGTTGTAATTTTTATCTATACGGTGAGATGTTCAATTTCTCTTTTGTTTTTGGCGGTTTGGCGGTGTTATTTACAAATTAGTCAACAATTATGGTCATTCAAAAACGCTTATTTTACCTCAGTTGTATCTCAAAATCTATTTAATTTTTCCTCAGTTTTGTGTTACCCTGGTCACTCTGTTTGTGTATGCACAAATAGAATATTTTGTGTAAAGAAGAAACGAAATGGAATAAATGTTGGGGAAAGGTGTCTAAATCGATCCCTTTAAGGCGTAATTTATATGTGTAAAAACTACAAATGCCCATTATTTAAATTTATTTCACTACCTGGAATAAATTTACCAAGTGGTAGAAGATTTTTCTTCTACGCCGTTTTTTCCCTTAGTGGAAGCCAAGTTTGTTAAGAACGAATTGTTAAGTTACGTCTTGTGAGAGTCGCCAGGGCACAACGTTTCAACTGAGATTTCTCACAGTAAACTGACACATTAGCTACAGGGCTTAGGGTACACAGACTCCCCTCGATTATCGTCTGACTTGATCTACATGATTATTGTCCAGGTGTTATCCCCACCACTGGGGAGAGGGCAATATGGAACCTGTCAAGCGAATACTTTGTTGCCCCTCCGATTTCGTTACCGAGGCTCGGACTTTGGGCAACAAACGAATTTACGAGGGTCTGAAGCATTTCTCCCTATACGATTATTATCCCGGCGCGGACCCGAATTCGGGACGATAATCGAGAGGAGTCTGTATTCCTAAAAAGTGTAAGGCCATTCAATGGTATAAAGGAAATTTTTCTGCCCTTCCTAGCAGAACCGTACGACAAACATGATGGAACAACCTGTGCACATGATAAACGTTTTATTTTATTCAAAAGCCATTCGATTTGCTCTATTAAAGTTTTTGGCGCATTAGTTTCTTGAATGAGGTTTTGGAATATTTTTTCTACCAGTGATTTTTGTGCATCTAAGGTAGAGGGGACAACTATTTTTGAACCCACTGTACGTTTGCCTGTTAAATCAACGAGAAACGTTTAATATAATCAGAACACTGTATTTGTTTAGTAACATGGATATTGTATGCTTAATTTCCATTGTGCAATGACAACATGGACGAAGTGGTAATTGATTCATAACGTTTAATTGGTTGATATTTCTATTTAACGCGATTGAGAAGGATTTCATTACGCTTCGATCAATTTTTGGAAATAATAAATGTATTGGAGATTTATTGAAGATGTATTGAATTTTTCAGAGAATTATGTATGTTCTTATTGATCGACGAAATCGCGGCGATTTTATTAACGTGCAAATTATTAACTTTGTCACAGTTTTCATAGATTACTCAATGATTTTGTGTCTCTGCGAAGTACGTAATTAAAGGAGGAAAGGAAGAACAAAAGCTACCGGAATACAAGGGTAGTCATTTTCGTATAGGTAAACGCCTAAGGTTTAAACAAATAAATAGACAAATGAACCGAAGAATTAAAGAAATGAAAAAAAGTACACACACAACACACACACAACACACACAACACACACACACACACACACACACACACATATATATATATATAAAAATATGAATAAATAAATAAATGAATTTATATGTGTGTAGTATAGGTATATGTATATTTGTGTACATATACAAATACATATGCATACATATAATTATATCGAATTATTATTAACGAGAATAGATCAGAACTTATATATTATTTGTTGGGAGAGCATATATTATACGATATTTAATATATTTAGGATATTTATTTGTTGATTTGGTGATAATATATATATATATAACAAAATAAATATATATATATATACATAAATAGCTAAATAATTTTTACTAGGTCTATGAAAGGATTAAACAAATAAAACATGGTATTTCGACGGGAAAATAATCGATTGTTCACTTTCACGAGGTTTATTCTTCGCTATTTATTTGCTGTTTTAGGTTTGGTTAAACGCTGGAATTGTGTTCGATGTTGAAGTTTTAGTTTTCCTTTAATACTAAGACCGATTCACTCCACCTTTTTCATATCTGGTGTAGTTTCAAAATTACATGGAACAGTATAGATATATGCTTCTGTTATCAATAAATTCCTCTAATGTTTAATATTAAATGAATTTTTTTTTATGTTTCCAAATGAGGTTCTTTAAATCTAAGGTCTAAGGAATTTACACTGTATCTTAATT